GGCCTCGGACCGGAGGCCGCTGAGGGCTTTGTAGGCCCCGGCCCGGCGGGGGGGAGGAGGGGGGCAAACGGGGCTGCGTCGAGTACGGGTGGCCGCTGCAGGGTCCCTGGGTCCTCACGGTGGCTTTCTTTCCAACCCAGGAAGATCCTGCCTTGATCCGCTGGGCCTATGCTCGGACACAGAATGTCTACCCTACTTTCCGCGCGACACCCAAGACGTCCTTCCTAGGAGCTGTTTGTGCCATAGGCCCTATCCTCTTCTGGGCTTTTGTCTTTAAAGCTGACAGGGTAAGTCAGTTGACAGCACTACACACGGCAAAGCCTCATAACCGGTTGCAAAGTCCTGCTGTAACTAAAAGGCCTGTCTTGTATCCGTGGGTATGGTCAGTCACAGTTTCTCTGATCAGGGTATTTTGCTGTAATAAAGCTCTCTGTAGCACTGGCAGGGGAGTTGGACTAGATGATCTCCAGAGGTCCTGTCCAGCTCCTGTCATTCTGTGACTCTGTGACAGTGTAAGTCAATCATAAGAGACTGTTATTTTCAGCTGTTGACATGCAGTAACTGTGTGTTCTGACCTGTGGGAGCGGGTCCAGACGAGGGCCATGAAGATCATGGCTGGAGCACCTCTCCTATGAGGACAGGCTGAGAGAGTTGAGGTTGTTCAGCCTGGAGAAGAGAATGTTCCGGGGCGACCTTATAGCAGCTTTCCAGTATCTGAAGGGTGCCTACAAGAAAGCTGGAGAGGAACTTTTCGCAAGGGCATGTAGTGATAGGACAAGGGGGGATGGCTTCAGACTGGAAGAAGGTAGATTCAGATTAGTTATCAAGAAGAAATTTCTCCCTGTGAGGCTGATGAGGCACTGGAACGAGTTGCTCAGGGAAGTTGTGGATGACCCATCCGTGGAAGGGTTCAAGGCCAGGTTGGATGGGGCTTTTGAGCAACCTGGTCTAGCGGAGGTGTCTCTGCCCATGGCAGGGGGGTTGGAACTAGATGATCTGTAAGGTCCATTCCAACCTAAACCATTCTGTGAAATAAATAGGGAGCTCAGGGATGACATACCTAGAGACGTATCTGAATTGTTTGACCATTTCTCTAAGCTCACGATACAAATGGGGAGGAGTACTTATGCTGATCACAGTGCCTGATCTCAGCTAGATTTTTAAGGTTTTTGGAAGGTTTATCTTGCTTCTGTTCTGACTCCTGAAATGTGGGTGTCGGAATCTGAGCAATGGTAGATCATTCTGAAAATACTCTGCTATATACATACACGTGAAAGTGCTAGGTGACTGGCAGACAGTGGCTGTTTTTACTAGTGAATTTATGGCTATTGTAAAGCACTGTTATTTCCCTCTTTCACACAAAAGTAGTATTTTTAGATCAAGTCATAAACTGGGAAGCACAATCATCAAATAAAATCAGCAGAATATTTGTAGGGAATGCTGTTGACAAGGATGAATCAAAAATACAGGGTTTAGGAAGCATGCTAAGCAAGTTGATATAAATTTTTAAGACTTCAGCATCTCTGCAGTATTTTGTCATGCTGGTTTGGTTTTGTACATGAAGTCACACTTGGGGTTAGCCACCAAGTGTGGCTTAGCGCGTGAGTGCTTGAAAATAAACCTGTGTGAGTGAAATCTAGACATACTTGCCTGGGAATATTTAAGCTGAAGTCCTTAATGTAGTCTCCAGGACAATTTGTTTTCCTTTATTCCAGTTCCCTTACTGATGTTTGGGGATTTTTCTTTTATTTTCTGGTAGTATATAAAGCGCAATAACTATTACACTCTTTTCCCTGAGGAGTGTTTGTTGTATGCCTGGGAAGCAAAAGATAAATTGTCAAGTTTTAAGCAAGTCTTCTGGTTTTATCCAGCAGAAGGAATCTGGGCAATATCTGAAGTGTCTGTGTACTGTAACAATACCTGTCAGAAAGGTACATGACTGCAGAGTGAGATAGAAATGGGCTGAAAGTGAACACAGGCACATTTAGGCAAGTTATTAAGAAGTTTCTCCATAATTGGATCTCTAAACTGGATTATTCAGCAAGAAGAAGGAGGTAGAAACTAAATGTTTAAATTAACTGACGCAACTAGTCTGGTGAAAAATACATCATGGGAATTGGTCTCTGCTGGCCTGTGAGAGGGGGCAGATGTGCAGAGAGGTCAATCTGAGCACATCTTCCCTAGCTCAAAGTTGAGGCTAAGTGCCGTGTTCTTTTTTATTTTTTAACCACAATGGCTGTTACCAGAGTTTGTGCTTATAGAATCATCTAGGTTGGAAAAGACCCTTAAGATCATATGTGGTGCTATCTTCTTATAGCCCATGCTGAAATACTGGAACTGCTTTTCTCTTATCCCAGGCTGATTGAAACTTCTTCTCCAGTAGGATAATGATGAATGTTCTCTTTCTTCCACAGGATCGTAAAGACAAGCTAATTCAAGAAGGTAAATACAAGCGACCATTCAGTGTATTTTAAGTTCCTGGAATTGCATTGTTGTTCATGGGATATAAATAAAATAAGATGTATCGCGTGCTGACATTTCTCCTTCATAAGAATAAATCCTAATTGCTCATTGGTTGTCTTGTATCTTTAACAATTATGGAAAGTGGAAAAATGCAAGATCTTTATACCTAACGTAGATAGATACAGAGAGGGTGTCCTGCACTCAACCAGTATGCTCCTTTGATCTACAGGCAGAAGCTCCTTTTAAACTGTGGAAGTTGCTGCTGTCAGAGCAGCACAGGCTGAAGTTTAAAATTAGTAGCAGGCTAAAATGTTAAGCAAGCCCAAAGCAGTTTCCCAAAGAACTACTACTTGCCTGCTAGGTATTTCTTCCTGGCGTCGGTTTGACTCTGTGGTTTGCCCTAATCGGATAATAGGCAAGTTCTGCGATAGTTTCTTAATAACTTTAGGAGCCTGCCTGACTGCTCTCAATAAGTTGAGTTAATTTTTCTTTTCCCTAATAAAATACAAGCCCAATCCATGCATTTGTTTATTGCAATAAACTTCTGGATAAAATTACTGTACCAGACTTGGAAATACTGGGCTTAACATTGTCATGTTCTATGTGACTACCTTTTCCATTAATTCTGCGATTCCTGTGAGTGGGAGAGAAGAATTAAAAAGATACGGATTTTTATTTTTTATGCCAATTCCCTTACAGTATAGGAGAATTCCATTTCAGCCCTGCAAATGTTCCATGGTTAAAAAAAAAAAACCCACAAAGCGTAACTGAACCTTGTGCCTGCAAAGATGTCTTCTCTGGTTATAAGAACCCAAGTCTTTTCTGCCCAGGTCAACTGGTGTTGGGGGCTCTGGAATTGTTACTGCCAAAGTACTGAAACATGACTGCAAGGAAAAGATTTTTTAATTCAGACTTAGATTTTCACATGGCCTGTAGGTGCTATCGTGATCCAAACAACCCTTGTTCTTCAGACATGCAGGAGCGGTTTCTTCCCAAATGTTAAGGTCAATGCCAAAAACTGTTTGATGCAAAAGTTGAGAGCTTCCCTCTCTGCCTGCTGGGAAAGCAGCCTACGTTCTTGACAGTGAAGTCAGCAAGAGCAGCTCTGCTAAGTCCCTTTCCTGCATGATTAGGATAGAAGTATGGGCCATTTGCAGTCCCTCTTCATCAGAGTGAGTTGATGAGGTTTTTCACAGAATTGCAGAATGGCTGAGGTTGGAAGGGAGCTCTGGAGGTCATCTGGTCCGACCTCCTGCTTGAGCAGGCTCACCAGGACCGTGCCCAGGGGGCTTTTGGGTATCTCCAAGGGTGGAGACCACAACCTCTCCGGGCAGCCTGTACTAGTGCTCAGTTGCCCTCACAGTAAAAATGTGATTTTTTTACTGTGTTTCCTGATTTATTGTTGGGGTTTTTTTTGTTTGTTTGTTTTGGGTTTTTTGTTTGTTTGTTTTTTAAAGTATTTCCCTTGTTGTAGCTCTTCCTTTTCCTGTCTGGGTCATGAAGTGGTCAGGCAGTGGGGGCTTGGCACTTGGGCTACGTGCAGCAGCTGTGCGAGGCGGTGGCCTGCTTTTGCAGTCCCATATGTGCTCTCAACAACCCTCTCGCAGCTGTCTCTGTGCCTTGTTCTTCTGCTAGCTTAACTAAAAGAAACCCAGATTATTCTCTCTGCAGAACAGCTTCTAAAAGACTTGTCGCAAATGATATTACAAGATACGGCTGTGGGTCAGTGGAGAGAGAGAGGCATCAATGCATGCAGAAAGTGGTATTTAGGGGAAGAAATAATTGCTTGTCTGAGCATGCTAAATTAACTATCTTCTTGCTGCCACAAACTAATTTGATCTCCCAGGACCCATTTCCTCAGCTAATTGGAACTGGAGTTGCCACACATGTAAATTCTCCCTTGCAGCTGCGTTTGTTTCAGGCCAGTTGAGCAAATGGTTCAGGATGGGTTGTGGATGAGCGCTGCGCCTCTAGTCTTTTAGGCTGGCCTCGGATTGATGCTTGCGGCACCTGCCACAGCCCTTTCCTTTGCAGATGAGAGTGACGCTACATCCCTGCAGATTTGAGCGTGGTGCTTGGGGAAAGGCTGCCCTACTTTTCCTCTCGTTATTTGTAGAACTCTCCGAGCTCTTTTCTTGCAAGGAACGCATGTGTTGTGCTACTGGAGGTGGGGTTGGTGGTTTGAGGCAGTGGTGCTGGGTGCGTAGGGGAAGGAAAGGGGAATTTCCCTTCAGAAATGTAGGGTGAAGACAGGGGAGTGATTCTGCCTCATGGAATTTTACCCTTGACTGATGTGTTACCATCCATGTCTGCTTCAGTCTATAGCAAGAGAAACTCAAGCCTGCAGGTCACTGGGTGATAACGTAGGTCGCAAACAGAAAACAAGCTTTTTCCCTCTGCCTGTGAAACATTTAGATCTTATTTATCCCTGGATCAGTCTGATTAAATCAGCTTCTCTGGCAAATTGATTCTCCTGAACGTCCTTTTCTGAGCTGGCTATTTTAGAGTAAACATCTCCCTGTAGATTTTATAGTGTAATACTGTGCTCAAAGCTGATGCTTTTTTTTTTTCCCCCAAGGATCTGGTGCAGATCCAAAAACGATGATGGATGTAACTGACTGAAATTAGGTGTTGCAGCTCTACATTTCCTTCTCTTTCAGAAAATTGAGGATTGCTTCTCTTGGGAAGTAGGAAACATAAATCCTGGTGGCACCAAGCTTAGTAACTGTTTCATGTGGGTACATGCTAAAGCACAGGCCTGAGGTTTTTGGGATGCCTGGGCTGTGCTCCTGGTTCCCAGCCTACCTGGGGCTTCGCTTTCTGCCTCCACCCTGTGGAACTCAACGCCTGCAGGTGAGGCGTGCACACTCCAATGAATTTTGAGGTCCTCCTCCACGATGTTGCCTGCACTCGAGGTTTCTTCCAGGTACCTTCCCAGGAATGAATGCCTGGGCTGGCCAGACAAGCCCTTTAGCACTTGCTGTGCTGCAAATTAGCACTTAACTAGGGAGAGAATTTGTCAAATGCTGACAAACAAGTCGATGTTGAAGGGTGGCCAGAGCGTGGAGTTGGAAAGGAAACTTTCCCTCGCTTAGCAGTGAAGCGCTTCGGGTTCTCCAGCCTTTTCTAATTCGTGGTCTACTTTTCTGACAATCAAGTCTTCCCTTGGCAACCCTCTGCAGAGCAGCAGGCTGAAACAGCCTGCTCTGACAGGAGGCTTAGGTCTGCTAGAGCCTTCAGCTCTGTTTGGAAAGCTCTTCCCCTGCAGACAGAATAAAATGCTTTATTGATCCCTAGTTTCTCCCTGTGAAAGACGCACCAGGTCGTATTTTCAGGAGACCCTGTGAACGGGGGCTGGCTGTTACCTCCTCTCTGCACAAGGTACAGCATTCACACCAACTACACACAGTGAGAGCCACGCAAGTACTTCAGCTTCAGTGTGTCACCAGGAAAGCTTTAATTTGATACTTGAAAGTTAAGAATAATGGTGGTTTTTTTACTGCATTTCCCAAGTTACATAGGAATGATCATTTTTGTGGCTCAGTGGCTGCTGGAAATGCCATTCCGTGCTGGAGCACTCTGCATTGCCCGAGTCGACCGTGCCACCACACGTAGGTACGCTGCATTTCCCTGTCTTCACTCACGTCTTCCAAGCAACAAATACTTCCCTTTACTTGCACTTAGGGTTGAAATGGCTTTTCAGAGGTTCCCAGCACTTGTAGTAGTTTTTATCTAGGCGGTTGGAGGTTTGGAGGCCCCATTTGGTGACGGCCATACTGAGGGACGATTCGAACATGAAGGCCTGTTGGGAAGAGAAGGTAGGTTAGGGCAAGAGAGGGAGAGTTTGCATCCAGGCAAAGGTGGCTCTGCTCTACCTCAAACAGGAGTTGCACACATGGTCATTCCCTGCCAGATTCTACCTCCAGCCCGATCAACCCAGGGGGAGAAAGCTTTTCAGAGCTGGCATTGCAATGGTGGTATTAACCAGGTCTCAGGAGTGATTTCGGATTCTCTGCATACCCAGGAAGGCCAGGTTGTTCTAAAAGCTCTAATTTAAGGTCTGTTGATGATCATCATTAGATTTTAGGGGGTGGGGAAAGGAGGAGAGTCAGGCGTTTCTTTTCTTTGTCCGTAGACTAAGACAAAAATTAAATTAATCAGCATGAAAATTCCCAGCTTCCTGCTCAGGCAACAATTTATATGAGCAGATGATCAAAGCTGCCTGGCATCGCGTGTCTCCAGGGAAGCTCCTGGGAGTTGAATGATGCTGATCAGTGAGGGAGGTGAACGCTGTAGCCATTTGGTCCAAGTACTTTGCCGGTGAGAAGCTAGGCTGTACTTTGAGAGTGGCACATCCACAGTACTGTTCGAAATCTTACCAGCTCCCTTGGCTCCTTACCATGGTCCCTTCTGCAACCCTCTCAGGCTCCAGCTTGGCTTTGCTCGCCTTCTCAAAACAGTCAGCATCCGGCCCGTGAGGAGTCATCATGCTGTGCAAGCTGGCCCCTCCAGGCTGGAAGCCTTCTTCCTTTGCTTCATAGTGGCCTTTGATGAGCCCCATGAACTCACTCATGCAGTTCCCTGCGGGAGGCACAGAGAACAGGTTGCAGCGCAGTGCGATTGGGAGGCATCACAGCTGGGCTGCGAGCTCCTTGAAGCCCATGAGCTAAGCTGGGCCTGGCAGTGGGTGGCCTGGAGGTTCCTAAGCAGGACATCACAAGAGAGGACATCAGGGATCCTACAGGGGATGCTTGTAAAGCTGTATGGATTTTATTCTGTTCTCAATTATCCGGATTTGGAAACTGAGAGCTCTCTAATGAAGGTGCATTGATGTTGGTAGACATGTGCTTTTCCTACCACCTCGAGCTGTGTAAATACTGCACCTGCATACGAACTGTGTGGTGTAACCTGACACTTACAGACTTGGACTGGAGATCTTAAAGTGCTGGAAAGAAAGTTCAGTATAATCATCCCTGTGTTACAGGCTGAGGCACAAAATGCCTGGCCAGCA